AACGCAAGGGGGATAGAGTAAACTAAACAAAGAATATCAGGCCTCATTGCCTAGGCTGTAAACATTATTGGTAGCATCCTGTGCCTTCAGATAAACCACAACTACACAAACATAAATTTGTGAAAGCCTGTAATAGACAAACAATAATGCTGCCATAGAAACGAGGCCAGAAGAAATGCCAGGCACATGACCATGAGCTCTGATTTGAGTAGAGAGAATTGATCTCGTACGTACATAAGACTTTCAAGAGTATGTTCAGTCCAGTCGTGTTTAACTGTCAGACTCAAGGACATCAAAGGAGAATATAATATGGAAGTGGCCATTTATGGTAATGGTTGTAAGAAGGTATGTAAGTTGTACACCTTAAGCAAACATGGGAACATTAACATGTTCACACCATTTCTTTACTTTGCTGCACATGTAACAAAATGCAGGAACAAGCACGACCAACAACATCCTGGAAAGTTTTTAAGCCCTCGGGCCAAAAACAGTGTCTTTTGGTGTCTATACCAAATCAAGTGACTCAAGCTGGTGGAAAAAAAACGACTGCATTGAATTTCCTTTGTATGTAGTGTTGTAACGTGAGCCCTGGCTTCTAAAAGCTTTACTCTGCTCCTCCCTCCCATCTACAAAAAACCTGTTCCTCTTTTATTCCTGAGCTGAAATGATCGAGTATCACGCCCCTTTTGTCTGGTTGCACTCAGAGAGTAAGGTCAAAATGAACCATGACAGAAAATACTGAGAGGCAACAGCAACACAGGCAACACATGTTCCGACTGTTGTTGTCCATGAAGCTGGTGTCCTGCTCCTTATAGTTACTATGATGTCATAAAACTAAGGCCTTAAATAGTAGTCTCCAACACAGGTTTTTATTGAGCACGTATTTGGTATCTATTAGAGGTTAAAGGTAAAACTTAGCCTCTAACAGCTAAGTCTGAAACTGTTGGCCATACCTGTTCCATACAGCAAATATATCAACTATATGGATGGGTTTTAGTATATGTTAATATAACCTTTAATTAATATTTGTATATACTTTATAAAAAATATTTATAAACAATAAGAATACAATAATAAAACTAATTGTAAGAACAATAAGAAGAAAATATTATTATAATTGTTAAATATACTCCACTTGTTGATTTAGGTGTCTATATTGTTTGTGACCTTTTTTAATCTGGTATACAATTTTCTTTTTTACAAGAGGGACCACTCAAAGGGATTGATCTCCAACATTAGGGCATTTCATGCTAGGAGTTGCACAAAAAGGAAAATGCAAAACGGCGAAACCGTTTTGTAAACACTAGGCCAGATGGATTAGATGTCACTCTTTAGGCAAATGTGTATTGGAAAAAATATGTAATGTTGTAAACTTTGTTTTAACTGTTTTACAATTTGTTTTAGAAAGAAATGTAATAGAGTATAACCTCCATCACACCCAGTACTTTATCTAAATATTCTATGCAAAATCTAAAAAAAATCCAGCTAAATAAACACCTTTAGCCCAAAAACACTGCTCTCCAACAGTTTTTCAAGCTGCTAGTTTTCCTCTGCTGGAAAGTATTTTTTTCCTTGACTGTGGCACTGGTCTGAACTTGCTCACAAATGTGCCAAAGACTGACTGTACTGCTCAACCTGCCCTGTGGGCAGATGAACTATTCAGCTGCCTTAAATAAAACTGGGGAGGTCCTTCAGCTAACGTTCCACTGAGTACCAAACCTGATGTTTATCCATTATTGGCACTTGTTTGGTGTTAGTGGCATTCTCATGGTAACCACCACTGATATCCACACTGCCAAATTCAATTTAAGTAGTGCTGAGAAGGAAAGAGCTGGAGGCAGAGACCAGAACAAAAACGAGATTTCCCTATTAAAATAGAGTAAACTCTTACTCCATCCCCCATGGGAGTCTGTCTCACAATGATCTCATCTCTTTTATACAAAAGAGCCTGGAGGATTTTTCTCCAGTGGTGAAAGAGCCTATGTGTGTGTGTGTGCATGTGTGTCTGTAATGCCGGACAACAGACAGTACTGTGCTGTGCTTCTTTCGCCTGTTTTAGCAGGAGCCTTGCCATGAAAATCCACTTGTGGCTTTACAGAGCAGCTGAAGATGACATGACTCCCTGTCACATACTCTACTTGGCTTTAGGCACTGAAAATAAAAGGGGATCTCCAAAATTCACGCAGATGTGGAAAATTATTCATTTCTATTTTGCCCTCACGATTCTCTGGCTTGGCCTCAAACCCTTTGCTTTACACATTCAAATATAATGTCAGTGGGTTCCTGACCAGGTAGAGGGCTGAAAAATTGAAAAAGAAATTGGTCTTCCACTTTATTTTAGATCATTACTGATTTAATTCAAAAATAGTTACATCGAGGGCAACTGGACGAAGCAGGTTTTTTAAGACGTTTCACCTCCAGTTGCCTAACAATTTTTTGGATTACTTGGATGACTGAGAACCTACACAGACATAGTGATTTAATTACTAATTATTGCATTTATGGCAATGACATGTTTCAAAGAATAAATCAATTACAAAATTATGAAAATATTTATTTAGCCTATTTCAACAACGAAAATATAAAAATTAAATTAAATTAAAAAAGTGTAACTTGACCCCTAAATAACAATGTACAACTGAATAGCTGAATGATTGTAATTTTTTACAAACTTCTCACATAAAAACACAAAGTGCATTTGATTATTTATTTTGTATGACTACTACAACAAAGTGCATCCAAAGCAAAGTAGCACTGTGTGTGCCTTAAGTGCCACTGGGACTGTAGCTCTGAAGGATCTGACCTAGACCAAGTGGACCTCCCTGTAACCTGTCATCACAATGTGCCGTTCGTGGTGGAAACCAGACAGTGTACAAGGTGCCAATGAGGTGACAAACTGTCAATGAGTGAACATAAAAAACTGAGGCACTTGTAACATTGTGGCTAAGAACAGAGGAAGACTCACCAGTGCCCTGGTGGGAGCACTAGTTTTACTCAAACGCTAGGCTTACACACATTAGGTCAAATATATAGTAAATGAGTCGGGGCTCATTCTAAGAAAGATGATACTTGTCAGTACTGTTGAGTAGAAAAAGAATATGTCAGATCAGAAACCATTTCTTTTACTTATAAATGCTGTCTACTTTATAATCAATGACCAAGTTTAAATGAAACACATTACATGCATGTTGTTAAATCTTTATTGCCTTAAATGATAGTGATTTGATCTGAAATTAACCTACAGTAAGAAGGCCTCCAAAGAGCAATGGTGCTTTGTTTACAAAAAATTACAGATCTGTAATTTTTACCTGTTGACATATATGATGCCAAAAGTTTCAGGAGTAACATCTGCTGCTGAACAATAATTCCACCAGAGTGCCGTGAGAGTTCATAAAGTGTACAGTATAAAAAGCAGTTTTGAAGGCTTTATTGCCTCATTAAAGAGCCGCTTGCCGCGTATTATGCAGAGCGGGCTTGGTGCGTGGGAACAACCTGTATCAAATGTAAGTCATAGAAAGATTCAGTGGAGAGAATCCGGTTATTTTTCAAAATAAAACATCTTTCAGAATCAGATAATAAATAAAACAGAACGCTTGTCAATGACAGCCTTCTCCTAATCGTGAACTTTTTCCATGAAAAACAAATATCATCCTGAGGAGATTAAATGAGCAGAAGCAGTTTATAACAGTAAAACCCGACTCAGTGGAAACGTCACAAGACTGCCTCCTTACTAAAGCATGACAGTCCAGCAGACAGAGAGCATTCTTTCCACTCCAAGGAGAGGGGAGCATGGAAAACTCATTGACCTAACTATTATGCTGGGTTTATAATGGCTGAGACCTGCAATGGCAGGAAAAAAAGAGTACATCACAGCAAAGTGCAAAGGTCATTCACAGGTAATGTATGTTAACTCAAAGAAAAGGAAGGAGGAACATGAACTACTTATCATTGTGACACAGCACACCACTGCACATAATGAAATGTGACCTCTGCTTTTAACTCATCACCAGAGTGAACAGTGGGCAGCTTTAAGGGCCCGGGGAGCAGTGTGTGGGGACAGTGCCATGCTCAAAGCAACTTGGCAGCTGGTGGACTCAAACCTGATGCCTTCCGGACCCAAGTCCGGTTTTTGAAAACAATTACCGTAGGTTCACAAACAAAGTTTTTAACCAAAAATTGTCCGAGTTGTCGTATCACAACTCAGTTGCTGAACAAGCCAACAATATCAGGCAGCAAGTGATCACTGAGTGACTGAGTGTGTGGCGCCAGTCCACGCTTAGGATGTACATGCCAAAGCTGTTGTCTGATTTTGCCAGTATTTCTTGCGCAACAACAAATACAATAGTTTGGAAAAAAAAGTTTGAATAAGCGGCCATCTGGGGTCCAGGAACATATTAATCCATTTTACATTGATTCCTATGGGGAAAATTGTGAACTGAAAAGTTTTCAAGCTTTTCAGTTCGAATTAAGTTTAAAAACCAAGGTTTTACTGTAATCTCAAAGTAGCAAATATTACACAGCTTTTCTGACAATTAATTACAGTAATATTGCAAAGCACCCTGCGTAAAAATTGTTTTAACCATGCTGCCAGATTTAACAAATAAAAGCAGAGTTTGCCCAAGAAAATGTATCACTAATCACATCATTAGTAAGTGATGTGCAGAGTGTATGGGACACTGCTTCTGTGCTCGCTGGGATGTGATGTAATGCAGTCCATATCAGCTTATACTGCAGTATCAGTACTAGCACACATCGGTTTAGCTGTTTGTCTGTTACTCCACGGTTTCTCTTGTACAGTGTTTAATGTAACACTTCTGCTGTGCTAACTCTTTCTCAGAGTTTATGCGAAAGAAGAACACACACTCTCCTCTGTGGTTAAGATGTTATAAGAGGTGTGACGATTACCCTGTCCTTAAACTTTATCACATGCTACTTATGTAATGTTTAAATCCGGGAGATAATCAACTGGAGAGCCAGCACTTGTTAGCTATTCACCTATATACCAATGTCTGCTAGGTGTTTTGTTCTATACAGAATACACAAGCTATTCTCTGTTGCTTGTGTTATTGTGTTATTTATGGGCAGATGGTGACACTGTTCAAACTTGAACTGAACCCTAATCATTAGCATCTGTTGCTTTTGCTGCTTCTGGGTCAAGGCCTGTCGAGTAGTTGTGGAGCTACACAGTTATCTGACAGTAGTAGGTAAACTCCAACTTCAAGCATTAAACTTCGGTTTACACACGGACACATGTGTAGCAACTGTAATGTGTTACATGTCTCAGGTTTGTGTTGTTTCAATCATACTATTTTGTATAAATAGAAGTAGAAAAAATATTTATTGGATTCAGTCACACTGAATCCAATAAATAATTTTCTATTCTGTTCTTACTGGGGATGCACTGATACCAGTAGCAGCCAGTGTTGCATGTTTACCTACTTCAGTTTGGTCCCTCGTCGGCAGTGTATTTAAATCAGCCAGCCATGTCAGCAGGTGGAGACAGGAGCAAGACTTACTGTGGGATTTGTTCTATTTTGATACAAGAAACTTAAAAAAAGATCTGAACATGCTGTCTCTCCTCAGTTTAATGGCAAAGTGAGATAGATTAGCCGTTTATACCTCACAAATCACCTCTTGATGAGACCTAATTAATAAACATCATGTGTGTTGCTCTGTTTATTGAAACATTTGAAAACAGCACGACACAGGTTGAGTGAAACTTTGCTTACTGAAAGGTAGGGGAGACTGTTAAATTGAAATTAACTTTTGCGGCAAACTCTCCACTCAATATCTGTTCAGCTGGCTGCATTAACAAGGTAGAAAGTTTAATTTATTTGACACATGCTCTTATCCAGTTTTGAAATTTAAGAGAGAAAAAAGTTAAATTATGTTAAAACATTTACTGTCTTTGTAACTCAAACTCTGCTAAACTCATTCACCTGTGTAACAAAGACATTGCCTGTAAAAATTAAACAGTCACGCATTAACTCCCAGCTTTTTACACACACTTAAAATCCTTGTGAACCTTTGCCAGGGCAACCGCTAAGTCCTTAAACAGCCATGGCACCTGTCTTTGCTTGCTCACATGACAATGGTCTTGAACAACCTGCAAGCAGTAACAAAGTGCAAGTACAATGTACACAAAGTGAGCTGCAGAGCAGACATGACCTACTTTTTAAATTCTCTCTGTAACAGTTAGTGGGAGGTGGCGTTTTCTACACTCCCTTATTTTCCAGTGCCTGTCAGGCCAAGACAAGGTCAAGGAAAAGATTTTCCTGCTGTGTGTGTGTCAGCGACTCCACACTGATTCAACTCCGCCACAGCAATTTCTATATTTCTCTCTCAACAGGATTGGATAATTGAGTTGGATTCGGACAATTCCTGCGGTTGTCTCAGGTTGTTAAAGGAGATCGGGGGACAAGCTGATGTCCAATCACTCTGTGGATTTGCTAGAACAATTGCCAGAGCTACAACACAACAACACATTGGAACAACTCACGCTGCACATCAAACATCAAAACAGCAATAAAACGCTGGATGGGGAGTGATCTGCTGCCTGGAAGGGTTGAAGGACTCATGTTGACTGGCAAACAGTCAAGTGCTGAGGAACAGATATGTGAGCACTTTGGCATTGGTTATGGGTAGTGGTGGCATTTACTGTCACGTTACACACACACACACACACAGAGCCACGGACCAACACAAGCAACTGTGTCCTGAGTTCAGGGTCATAGACACACACAGAAACAGATTAAAGGGAAAGGTTTGGAAGTGAAAGGTAGATTCCAACAAATGCAATGACCTCCTGAGACCTCATGTCCTTATCTTAAACTGCCATCATCTGTCTATTCTATATTTCAATAGTCATTATCGTTATTTTCATTTAAGGCACTAAAGAAAAGTAGAACAATAATTTTAATTAGGGTTTTCCAAACCTAAGTGTTCTGCCATTTATTGACCACAAACTAATGACAATTACTATTTTTGGTTTCTTTATTATAAAGGAACAAGTAAACATGAACACATTTTTAAAGCTGAACAAACAAATAACTGACTAATAATATTGCCAGCCACTTAGTAAGTGATTTACTTTATTAAATGGTATTCTTACTTCCAACGCAAAATGTCAGAGAAGGGGCAGCGTCAAAGAGAAGCACAGCAAAATGAATGTGGATGACGTTGCAGTGTTCAATCAATTATTGACCGACTAACTCAAACATTTAATTAAATGTTGCAGCAGAAATCAAGACTCATCCCACTAGGTAACATTTTTTTCTTTTACTGTTTAAATGTGTGCTTTCATCAGACACAAGTCAGACTCACTGTGGTTTTCTGCGTCAGTGTTTCATTTGCTTCAAGGTTTGAGGTGCATTCAAAGATGCTCTTCGTCTTAAGTAACATGTGGTTATTTGAGTGGCCGTTGCTTCACTGTCAGCACAAAGGAGTCTGGAATATTGTCTGCAAACCACACAGTTGGTAAACTGACAAATATGTTTTATAACAATAAACCATTATCATAATTAGTTCACTTGCCTAAATTCAATGGCATGTTGCCAAGTGAGCGGCTGATGAGAAAAGGTCAGTCAGAGTAAGTACAGATCATTTATCAGTACATTCACATTTATTCAAAATAAGGAAACAAGAAGAACAAGAAGTAGCCCTTCTCTGTTGTAAAATACTCTGTTAGAGCTCTTGATGTCAGGTGTCACCTGGCTGTTTTTTATTTCAGACAGGAAATGGAGACACCTGTAACAAGGTTAGCAGGCTCCAGGAGAGCAGCCTGGTGTCTCAGAGGAGGGGGAGGACAGAAGAGCGAGGAGAAGAGGTGTTATGTTCCAACTGTTGCATCTGACCCAAAAGTCGGTCAGCTCTGTTGCAGGAAGTACCTACCACCGAGGACACAACAAAAGGAATGTCCCTATGTGGTAGGTTTCTGCAGTGAGACGTTTCTTTCTCCGCGACTGTCTTTCCGCGCAGCACGCAGTGTAAAGTACAGAAGCATGAAAAGACGGCCTCACATGTACACCACTAGTTTAAAGTCACACCAAACACAGAAAAAGTACAATTTCCACAGCAAAGTCGACTCAGACTCAAACAGTTCTACGGACAAAATCGAGCACTTACCAGCTGTTTACACTGCAGCGATGGACTATGTTGACATGTAGGCAACTTGCTGCTGCTACCCGCTTCAGATTAAATTCCGCAGTTTTTCAAATACAACCTCCCAGAACAGGTTTAAACTGGACCCGCATTAAAAACAGCTACTCCGCAGAACTAGTCCACAAAACTTTTGCCGTCCACTTCTTCACCACACTTTCATCTGTACTGGTCCGCGAAGGCAGGCGCCATGTTTGTACCCGAGCTGATAGTTTTGAGTTGGTGAGCTTTTCCTCATCCGAAACGTCGCTCTCACCGTGGACCCGCCCAGACAAGAGAGGCTTCGGTCCTCACTTCTGCCACTTACACCGTCCGACCGCTGGGGGCGCTGTCAACCTATTGTAGACGTAATCAACATCCGGTTTGTCTTTTCAAAGTTTGGGCAAACGTTTCAATGTAAGGTGTCGTTAAACTAGTTAATAGTTATATTTGGAAGGAATAAGTTTACTTGTTTCGCATAGAAAAACGTAACACGTATTGCATACCTTTTAACCTAGCTACTCGCAGGAACAGATAAGCAACATCAAAACGGGAAAAAAAGAGCAGACATCAAATAAAATCAGTTCAACAAGTTTAACAAGCCGTGCGCTTATATTCAGTATTTAATGACTACTCAAAATATGTGGGCGTTTGTTTAAAAAAACGTGGTTTTTACACCTTACATAAATTGAACCAACGGGATCGTTAATATTTTTTGCTCCAACTTCAGTTAAAAAAAATACAATATGGTTTCTCACTCACAACTACCCAATAATAACGAAATAAGCAGTGACGCACTTAGGTTTCGCTCTTGTACAACCGAGTGTTTATTGTGAAGGCTTCACATCCTGTCTAGCGTATTCGCTACTTTACTTATTGATGCCTCTTGGCGTTATGGAATACTTGTAGTTTCTAGCTCCCTCTGCTGTGAGATAATGGGAAATGCATTTGTACCAAATACAACGAGTAGTTGTTGGTAAATCCTCCACTGCTTGAACATTTCTGTCGAACACTAAATTCTCTCAGTTCGTGTCACATCCACATCCTAGTAAAGCTTAATTTACAGCTGACGTTTTGTTGTGCTATAATCGATAGAGTTAAACCTCCGATCTTGTCACAAACAAGTATAAGAAATACATTAACATCATAAAGTTAAAATTTAATGAAAGACATTTGTAGAACCCACAAACAAAAGCGCTGTATATTTACATACACAAAGCCTTTTTTTTTAGCTGTAACTCAAAGGTTGAGTGACTGTCCCAAAGTTTGCGAAAAATTTGCAAAAACATTTTTATTTAAGTTCATCATGAATTGTTTCGATTTAAAAACTGAAACTCAAGCAGAGAACTAGACTAACAGCTATAAGTTATTTCAAAGCTATGTACAAATATTTTAACAAATATCTGTAGTTTTAAAATTCTATTAAGATCTTAAGACAAAAACATTTAAGACGATAACACAGACGTGTGAGTATATGTGCACAAGGTTAACATTTCATGTCATCAATGGGGGAGAATGAGATAAGTTTAGGGAGACTGTACTCCTGTTTGTTTGGGGACAGTGGGGTCTCCAATGTGTCAAGGTCGAGTGTGAAGACCTTTTCTGAGGCCTTCACTGAATCTACAGGTTGCAAGAGCCAGTCTTCATCGTGTCCCAAAAGAAGACATTCTGTAGCTCCAGCCTTGCCGTCAATGAAGGACCCATCGTCATACAACTGTTGTGTGTCAAACACATAACTAGCCATACTCCCTCGTGGCTGCCTTACTTCACTCCCCAGGGAAGGGAGAAGGAGCTTGCTTTCCTCACCCTCTTCCTCACTCATCTCTACAGCTTCATTGTCGAGGCTAAGTATACTGTCACAGCTTGGCATTTCAGGAAGTGTTTCGTGGTCAAGACTGAACTGGACCGCACTGCTTTCAGTGCAACTGTGGCTGTCAGTGGTGTCCCACAGCAGAGTGGACCTTGGTGAAGAGCCTTGCTGGCATACAGGAGAATTGTTGTAGCTCAGGACAGTAGGGACAATACTGTCAGAGACACTTTTTGAGGGGTCACCAGAACTCAGGGACACATTGCAAGACATGCCCATGGAAAGAAACGATTGCTTCGTACATGCGTCAAATTTCTGGGCTTGACGCATTTTTTCCGCTTCGTCTTCCTTCACAGCCTTTCGCCATGAGTTTTTCACATCCAAAACTATAAGAATAAAAAAGGGAAACATTTAGCATTCTTCTATATCTTCTATATGGTGTGTGATAATTTTTTGAGAAGCAGAGTTAGCCACATACAAGGCCAAAAAAAACAAAGACAAAATGAACATGCTCAAACTCACTCAAACTTTCGGGTGTACGCGGCAGCTGCTTTCTAGTAGAGAAGGGATCTCCTTGAAGAGTGTTAAGAAGCCCCTCCAAATCCAGACCTTTCACCCTGCCTTCTATTGGACTTGTGGTCACAGCATCTGCAAACTAACAAAAACACAAACATAATGTGTTCAAACGTTTTGAACATAGATTTGATCTGGAACCAACTGTGTCAACTGCTGAGTCTGCCACACAGAATTCAACAGCCCAACAAAGTGGTCAGGCAAAATCATTTACCAATGAAAAAGAAATGGGTCCGTGCCGTGGCTGTACCTGATCAGCGAGGTTATCACACTCAATGTCTATGATCTGAGCTTTGGTCCTCAGAGAAGCCATTTTTGGCTGAAGACGTCCAGGTGTCTTCTTTACAGTTGCCTGAGGAAAAAAGGCAGATTTGTTGGAGACAAATTTTGCTTAGCCCTTAAAGTTTGAATTTAAAAATTGAATACAAGCTGAAATTACAAGATTTCTTTACTAATACCCAAGTCTAACCTGAGGAGAGGGCACAGATGGTGTGCTTAGAGGAGGCGTCAGAGGAGTATCAAAAAACCAATCAAGGGATCTGTTCGCTTGTGATGAAACTTCAGTGACACCAGGACTCTCAGCTCTAGCAGACACAGGCCTGTAAAAAGGTGTAAATGACAATACACCTGTAATTAATTAATATTCTCTATTTATGATTCCACAAACACATTTTAACAATAACATTTTTTGCTAAGCAACCCCTACTATTGTATGTCCCAACTGGGTTGACACACCCTCCAGTTCTCCACACCCTTTAATTAAAAAACAAAAAACAAACAAACAAAAAAAAAAACACCTTTCTTAAAAAGGCAGCATGATTAATTATGCTCCATTCACCAGAACATAGATATAACACACATATGCCCTGAAAAAACTTAATTAAAATGTCAGCTTTTGATTTTAAACACAAAAGACATGTTTATTTACACATCATGGTGTGGGGAAGAAAAAAAAAACACCACCCAAAAAACAAAACACCAAACCACCATCACGTTTTTTCTGTCACACATCCCATATTGACACCTTGCACCACCAGGAGTGCCCACACCACACTTTTGGAATCCCTGCATTAGTGTATAAACCAATGTATACCCCACCCCAAGCATCCCTGCAATTCTAATACAAACTTGTCAATGCAAAACCTTCATCTGTTAAGAACCAGTATTTAGGCTGGTTATACAACAAAATAAATTATAATAAAATACAACATAACAGGCATTATCCAAGTTGTACAGTGTCTGCTCCGTATCTGTCCGTGGCGATTTCCCTCAATTCGCCACGGTCATCATAAAGCACAGATGCTATAGGGAGGACTAGTGACGGACAGAGCACTGCTCAGGACTGCCCAGGTATCTGCCTCCCAACTCACCGTCATAACCTACATCAAATTTTATACATCAACCAGTCAAAATTAAAACTGTACCTTTTATGGTTTGATAAATTTAGGTTGACGACATCTTGTACTTGACTTTCTGCAGACTTCTCCTCTAAAAAAAGTGTACACCAAATATTGTTTAAGCATATGACCGGATTGCTAATGACTGATCACAATGAAAGTCAGTTTTAATTCTTACCAAGAAGTTTAGCTGGGTACTTTGAAAAGACACAATGTCTGTAAGTGGCCTCTGCTGCACGCTTAAAGGATAATGGAGCCATAGGAGACAGGAATCCGAGAGCCTGTTAAAAATGTTAAATATATAGAACTTAGCATTGAACAAGGACAGAAGACAATATTAAAGCAAGTCCAGAGAGGTTTTTGTTTACATGCATGCAACAAACTACATACTTGGCCTTAAGCAACTTTAATAATGAATAAGTTTCAAGGAACACTCACAGGATCTTCATTCAAAAAGCTCACAAGTGGTGCGTCTTTGAGAGTATTCATCCACTTCCTGTCCCACTCTGCCTCCATGTCTGTAAGGGTTTTTTTGACTTTAGGAATTTCCTCTTTAAAAATTCTCTGTCTACAGAAGGGAAAAAAATAACACAATAATAAGCAATCACATTAGAAAAATTGATAGAGCTTTAAAGCTGCTGTATACCTGATAAAATAAAGGTCCTGCAGCACACATGCCATCTGCTGACACTTCTCCTGTAGATGCTGAGAACTAAGCTCAGACCTAGTGGGAATGGAGACCCCACGTCGCTCATCTGTGAGGATCTGCAGAGCGTGTGTCACCAGCTCCAACACACACAGGAGGTTCAGCTGACCGGTCTCGTACATGTTCCCAGAACTCAACTGCAAAAGACACTTCCATCACTTAATTAAGGTAAAGCATCAAACATTTTGTTTACATTTGCAGGAGGAGAAAGGAAATAAAAAGGAATTTCAGAGGACTAATCTCACCTGATGTGGAAGCCGCTCAATTCTCTCCAGCAGACAGCGGGGAACTTTGAGAACTCTATCTGTTCCATCCAAGATGTATTGGTCTACGTCTCCTAACAGAACACTTTCCATTGCATTTTTTTCATCTTTTATAGTAGACAGCATCCAATCAATGTCTGACCACAGGGAGCGCACCTTTGGACAACCAGGCATCCCATCAGTAAAACAACACAAGATCAAACTGCAACTGGGTGGACTTTAATGAACATAATTACCTTTCTGATCTTTTCAGCTGCAGAACACACCTGTTCCTGCTCAGAATCACTGCTGTAACGCCTGTAAATAGATGTGATACATTTTGTCAGAACTATATAAAAATTCTAGACACGTGCTTCAAAAACAGGTCATACATACTTTAAAGACTCATTGTAGTTGGCACTCTCTTCCCTCAGGTCCCTCAAAGACCTGACAAGTAGCCTAAAAGAAAAAACAAAACAAAAAAAAAAATCCCAAATATGATAAGTTTTGTTATAGGATATACAACCAACATTGTGTAGTTCTCTGGGCACATGGCAGAACAAACTGACTGCAGCTGGGCTCTAACTTTATAATGGCAAATTACACAATACAGGTGGTGCATTTAACGAGCAGCCAATCACGTGCATGCAAGTTGAAAAGCATCAAATTGTGTCATAGAACTTAAATGTAAAGCTGTGCCACTGGCTCACAGTAATTTAATGTTACACACACGTATATATAATTTTACAACAGCATTGACATCATTTACTGATGTGAATATAATTTCTAACACCTACGGGGCTCGTCTCTGGTACTCTTGGAGAAAATGGTCCTGATCCACCGATGTTTTCAAAAATCTTTTAGTGGTCAGGTTAAGTCTCTTCGTAGCCATGTCCAAAGAGGAAGCTGGCACTGATGCAGTTTCAGGAAACCAACTGCCATCTTATGGAGACAAAGGTAAAGGTGCATCACTTAATCTTGTGCAAACTTTGTTTACACATCTACTTAAAAGGGTTAGCATTGCAATTTTTGTGTTAGACATACAATACCTGTGGTAAATGTTTTCATTTCCTGAAGCATGACGTGGTTAGCCAACTGAAGCATCAAGCCGATAAACTTTGGACCTCCGGGAGACAAGAACAGTGATGCGCCCACTTTGGATCCTGCATTTGCAATTTCATCCTAAATGCAATTAACATTTTTGAATGTAAACAGATAATTTCAAATAAAATACTCAAACAACTTTGTTCCTAAATTAGTAAATAATTAGGCAGGAAATTGCAATGACAAACAAGATTATGAAAACGCAGTAAACGCAGACAAACAAGATTATGAAAACGCAGTAAAAATGAAAAAGGCTGAACGTGGTTTTTCATTTAAATGGATACATCAGTGTGATCTATAAAAAACACTTCCGCTAACTACCTTTTATTGTCATAATCAAATTTTATTTTATTTATATGGCACTTTTCATACTCCAAGGTAGCACAAACGGGCTAAAACAATAGACAACACAAACCTATTTACCATTATTTCCTTTAGCCAAGCACATGTAACTTTACGGAACTCAGCGTCTGCTTTGTGGTTGAGAACAGGCCAACAATGCCTAAAACAAAACACACACGTGACTACAATGGCTCTTATGTTTTTGTATTGAATTGAGAAGTCTGTAAAGAGAGAATATACCTGTAGGTCTCCTGAAATCGAGTTGGGTTGAGTTTCACCAACAGGAAGTGGATGACTATGTAGGAAGCGTCTTTGTTTGGTTTGTCAAACATATTCCTATAAACAAACACAATCAAGAATCAAGTTCAACGTTGGAACATATATAGACAGTAAACAAACGGACAACTTTCCTGCATTTTAATACGACGAAGAAAAGATACTCACGGTCCAAGGTGGATGTGTTTAACATTAATGTTGACTTTGGCGAGAGAAGATATCGCAGTGTCAGGCTGAAATCCCAGTCCAAGCAAAGAAAACCAGAGATATTTCCCTTTCTTCTTCTGCAATAAAGCGGGGTTCGCCATTTTCTTCCCAGATGGAAGATGCAGTGTAGATGAAGGGTGGCGTCTGATCAGAAATATAACATGGCGTAAAACTGTTAGCAGTCTAGCTTGACCGCTAGCGAAAAAGTTTCACATTCGCTTTCGATCGACTTAGTATTTAATTTTAAAATGAGAAATAGTCTAAGTAAATATTCAACATTTCACGCCAGCAAAAGTTCGTTGTTCACGCAGGCCTAAGAATGTTCTGTAGCTAACAAGAAAACTCGACGATTCAAACCCCACCCGCCAAATACGCCTCTCGCAACGTCACCCGGAAGTTGTTGTTGAGTATTTCCGCTGACTGCATGTTTTCTTAACTTTAATCTGCGTAGATAGACAGAGATAGCTATCCGTTCCAGTGTACCAATCATGTAACCTGCAAATAAAAACAAAATACAAACAAACAGTTTACCTATAGGCCGTAAAACCACACAATCAAAGTTAATAAATACAAAAACCTTTTAACTGTAATTTCGCTGGGCCACAAGTAGCCTAGTACTTTTAGAAGTATACAAAATTAAAAAGATGTCAGCCTTTGGCCATTTATGGAGCCATCCCCATAAACAATGTTACTGATTTGCCACCCAGAGTTGTTCTTTTGCAGGTATTAACAATATATAGATACATTGGCCAAACATTAAACCTTGTTGTGGAACTATCAGTACTTCACATTGCTTTATACTATGGTCTGGTAGTCCTCTAATAAATTAATCCCCATCTTGCCATCCTAACTTCCCATCATTCAGTTACAAGCATGGCCAAGACAATCACTAATTTCTTGAATTTGCCTTTTAAAAGTGTCTTTCAATATGGCATGCTACGGTATTTGCGAGTTGTAAAAATCAACCCGGAGAAGGGGCAATCAAAACAGACTTACATACAGTGTTTTGGCTTCATCTTTTTTAATAGCAGAACAATCATTTCTTCAACTTTCCAGCACAAATATTGAGCAGAAGGTTATTCATAGAAAATAGGCATGGACCAGTGACATTATTCAGGGAGTATCTTGGTTTTGAAGAAATGTAATTGCATTAGGTAATTACTGATCTATGTTTAATTGTAAACAGTAGTCCATCTGGTATATTATCCCCATAACTGGTCAATTTTAGGTGCATGCTTTCATTTACTGCGCTACACAACTACGAAAAAAGGATTGGATAAAAGAGATTCAAAATTAAATTATCTTCTGGACAGAGCCGTACATATCAGAAGTTTAGCTATTGCTGTCATATTGCTTATTTCTAAACGGCTGTGGTGTTCAAGAAATGTGGTGAAGTACTGCACATGTATGGAGAGAGAAGGTTGAGGGCAGGTACAAAAAGTACAAAAGGTGAAACAGTGAACAATGAATGCTTCTGTAAAGTCTTTAGTAAATACTGAAAGTCTGCCTGACAAAAGAAGGTAAAAAGTTTACAATGGACAAATGAATAAAATTATCCATCTGTTCTTGAATGTCACTGTACAGAGTCCAAAGAGTTTTGTGCATGGCATAAACAAGCAGCATTGGTATGTGTAGTGCTCTCACAGCTTGTGTCTCTGTGTGAATACAAGTTGACAGACAAATGCTTGCTCTCTTCCATAGGGGATGTGAATATTAAAATCATAGGTTAAATATATTTATTTCATGAACATTTCTTTGCTAATCTTATTGGATCAGGCAAAGATTTAAATCACCACAATAGGGTATGACAAATTTATGAAAAAAAATGGTTACTTCTTTGTAACCATAATAATTTTCTTCAGGTAAGTGTTGGAATCTGGTACCAGTCCATGCCTACTAAGAAAGAAGCACTCTCACATAAATCATTATTATTATTGCAATTCTTTTAAAACCAGTTGGCAGCACTCGCCCACCTTTGCTGGATCAGACACCGATGAGTACTTTGAAATCTGAGAATTGACACCCAAGGAAAGGGCTAGGTCTCTGGCAGTTTGGTCTGAAGCCACAGTGGTTCCCAATGCTACCAGAAGTCTAAACACAGCCTCCTTGTCTTGTACTGTCTCCAGAGCTCTGCTGGCCACAGAGAGACACTGGGCCTTGGCCTCCAGGTCAGCATGGTTGTAGAGACAAGCAGCATAGTTTAGCACCAGAGTGGCCAGAGCAATGTGGATGTTCTTATTGCTGACGGAGGCCAGGTCAGCAGCACGGGACAGCACAGACTCACGCTGGGCCATGAGGAGGGAACGACCGTGTCTGCCACTAAAGCAGTTGCAAAGGGTCCGCAGTGCCAGCATCTGGTTGGCAGGTCGTCCCTCAGGCCTCATCATGCTGAGCAGATGGTTACACAGCTGGATTCCTTCCGCCTCTCCACAGAGACACTCATTAACCTGTGGGTGGCGCACAGCCAGCCGCAAAATGTCCAGCACAGGAAAAACTATGTCTGTATTCCAAAAGAAGATAAATTTGTTTAGAATACAAAGTAGCTACTTGTCTTTTTACTAATCCTTTAGAAAAGCTGAAAGAATAGAAAGCTCATCATTCATCAAGATATAAAAAGATGCTGCTATACCTTCAGGCCAGTGAGAAGCTTTCCATAGGGAGTTGATCTGTTGCATGTTGGGAGGAGGTTCAGTGTTAGGTGCACAGACAGACACCAGCAGTCTTTCAAGGCATTCCAAAATGTCCTCAGATAGTCGATGTTCCTGAGGTGCATTGTTATTAAGCTCTTTTATCTTGGCTAGTGAGGAAGGAACACATAATTCACAAATTATTAATCAAAACACCAACGTGTGAATAACAGACCCCATGGAAAGCAACTGTATTATTACTAGCCCATGCCTGGATCTCTAGTGTGTAAGACTTTTTCTCACAAAACTGGTTTGGGGAGTGCCAACATTTGTACGGCAACATCTTCATTTGCTTTTTTCAGATTTTCATGAGTGAGACATTGTTGGCAGGCCCAGAAACTACACTTTCAGAAGCTGCTAACAACTCAAACTGCTTCTTGGGAGATTTCTTGTTTTTTTTCCTATGTAATAAAAACAAACAACCAAACCAGAACATATATATGAACATAAAACAGTTAATCAAACACATTTGTATTGTAGATTAGTCATCAAATACATTTCTGTATTAACAATATTCCCTAGGTGTTCATCTCTTGCCTGAATAAATGATAAGAGTTGCAAATGGATGACCACAGGACAATGCTTACCGATAATCTGCGTGCTATTGGCTTGCTCAAATGTGACACCATCAGTCTTGGGAAAATAGATGTTAGTTGATATTTGTCTGAGCGCTGCTGAGGAGTATGCACCACCACCTAAGAGACAGATTAAAGAAAGAAGATTTGGAAAATGTCAAAAATTTTCAAACCTTATAATATGTTGAAATACAAGTCCCTATACTACATTAGTTTAGTTTTTTAGATTGTACTTATTTACATTGTTTTCCGTGTAGTCTCTACCTATGATTTCTACACTCACCTGTGAAAGGGTCTGCCACGCCCCCAGGAGCACTTGAGTGCACATCAGAACCAGGAATGTAGCGACCAGAACCTATAAATTGAAGGAAAATAACTAAATTACCTTTGCAGGAACATTCAGGATGTTCAACAAATGTGGAGTGATGACTTACCCGTGAAAGGATCAGCTCCCAAGTCTGGCCCATTATCAGAAGAGCCAGGGATATAGCGAGCTCCTCCTGTCAGGCAAACACAGAAAATCTTTAGACTTAAGGAGCAGAACCACAACTAAAGGTTGAAAAATTTAAACCATTAATAATTATATGAATTCAAAACAGGTAAAACAGAAATATTGTAACCATCTTTGAAGCTCACCGGTGAATGGATCCATTCCAGCAGGTGTTGCTTGCCCCAGCACATGACCTTTAGTATTTTCTATGATAAAATTGGCAACCTGGTCAAGGAACATTGGGCTAAGATCATTCTTCTGTAAAAAGTTGTGCGCTGTCAGCCAGGGGTCATCTGACACATTGTAAGGCAGCTTCATAGATGGCCCGCCTTCGTTCACGTCAATGGTGAAAACATAGTCGTACTCCTAGGAGGTAATCAGGACACATTAATGACTACCCGTGTAAAGCGTAAGTGGTTATATCTCATCTCTGAACTTGTGGCCTCACCTTTCCTTCATATATTACACTTTTGGAAGTTTGTTGGTTTGATCCACCGACTACATCTCCGATTTTTATCCAGCGGCCATCACTGACACTCCACTGATATGCCTCTACCTTCTCTCCATCTTTGATTAGTCGAGTCTGTCCATCTCGATTTCCTGTAAAAATATGAGTGAAGAAAAACATTTGGAAGCACATATAGTGAACTGCTAGCATCTAGGGTTTTTGGACATGTTTTTACCCGGCTCATCAAGGTGCTCTCTTCCTGGAAGATCTTCTACTTTAATGTCTCCAAGGTCACCCGTCTTTGGATCGATAGTAGCTTTGGAAAGTTCGTCCTCAAAAGCTTGGATGTCTTCTGCACTGGCAACACGGTCTTCAGCTTCCGTAAAAACTCGGATAATTCCATCACTATGGGTAAAGGGCACGATCTCAGTTACACACTCTCTCAAAATGTACTGTGAATATACTGTGTTTCAGGCTGATATAAAGACATGAAAGTTATCTAAAATTATAGGAGATGTAAAAGGTGTTTAAATATTTAGGCTGTGCCAAAAAGGAAATGTGATCAAGGAAATTATTTCTTCATGTGCACGGATGCTTCTGTGATACCTGGCTCCAACTACTATATCTCCATTAGGAAGAATACAGCAGCACCAGACTGACTGGGCAGGCAGACGGATAGTCTGAGTGCACTCTCCACTCCTCCATACCCGTAAAGATCTGTCCTCCCCTGTACTTATAAAATCTAACAGAGGAGAGAGAATGCAGGTCAAGTTAAAGTAAAAACATAAGCAGACACCACACACTCACACAATATGGCCTTTAAGCAATAACAAAAATGAGCATACCTTCGCAATTAGGGAAGACAGCTAAGCTGTAGATGTAGTTAGTGTGGCTGTAATAGACCTGTACACATTCTCCTGTTAACAGCCACCTTCTGATACTGGTGTCATTGCTGCAAGAGAAGAACTCATTGTTGTTGATCACTGCTAGTCCCCTTACACAGTCCTCATGACCTAAAATAAAAAAGAGATTGTTGTATTCATTGGCTGTAAACATATGGTCTCCTTGACAATCTCAGGGTTCAAGACAGATTAATATAATAACACTGAGTCCCAGTTGTTACCAGGGAATACTAGATGATGAGAGTCTTCAACCAGTTTTTGAGAACAAGTGTCTGTGCCACAGATTATCAGCAAAAACAGCACTTTGTAAAGGTTTAATCATTTACCTGTAAATGTTTTCTCACATCGACCAGCTTTCCAAAGCCTAATAGTCTTGTCTGCTGATCCAGATAACATAAGGCCTTGTTCAGGAAATATGACCACAGCCCAAACAGCAGCAGAATGCCCCTATAATAATATAAAAACAAAAACAACAGTTACACTTCTCAGTTCTCTGCTCAAGTGTAGGGGAGAAATCTTAATTCTAATTCTGTTTTAAATGAAGAATATTCAAATTTCTGTTAGAATGATGTTTTAAACATTAGACTGCAACTTCTTTGGGGTGTGATATGTAGCATAGCACTTGCTGAGATCTCACTTGATAAACAATGGGCAAAATGAAAAAACAAAAATGAATATCAACCCACCTAATATTGGTAAACCTTTTATTGATGTTAATTTCATTTAAATGGAAAGGAAACATTACAGGTGCATCAACTTACCTGCAAAGTCATCATGCACTTTTCATTGTGCCAGACCTTGGCAGTGGTGTCCCAGGAGCCACTAAGAAGTGTGCCAAATTTCCCAGAGGACAGTGTGCAAACTGATAATGATAAAAGTCAAAAATACATTTTACATATACTGTACAAAGAAATCAGTTGAAATCAATATGATTTGAAAGAATTAAACACAACACACCTGTATTTTTGTGACCTTGAAGAATAAAAATTGGTTCTGGTTTGTCCAATGAGAACACACAAATGTTATTATCATTTCCTCCCGTGGCGATTAGTCCTCTGGGATAGATTTCACTCGGTGGGATTATGCATACACAGGATACAAAATTCGAGTGTCCGGACATGCAGTGCCTTTCGGTGAAGGCTCTGTCCGGGCTGTCAAGAGAACGGAGCAAAGACATTTAGAGTCAACATTTCAATTGATCTAAACATATGATGTACATGTTAACGGTCCATTTGCTGAGTTATAGATAAGATGGACATGGGGATAAATCTGGTTACATTAAAAACTACTTATTCTACTCAAAACAAAATATAGCACAATGAATGACAAAGCCAATTTGAACATGCTAGCATTACGGTCAGAGGCTAAAGTGGATAACACGTTAACCCAAAAATATGTTTATAGTACTGTAGAATAATTTGTTGTTTTTTAAATTATATATCCATTAATACTTTTGCAACCACGATGTAACGTTCATTTCATATAAAACGCAAAGCACAATTGGTTGGTCAATAGCAAGCTAATACTTGCTACCTTGCGTTAGGTTCCCAGACTCTTCCGGTTCGGTCTCTGGACACAGAAACAAACGCTCCTTCCGGGAAAAGGGCGGCCGTAAGTCCCCTTACATCCATTTCATGGCCCGGAATAGAGCACCGGAGTTTGTACGTGTTAGACGAAGCCATTCCAACCAACAACACTGTAAAATCACAAGTAAGTTGGATGCTAAGCGGCGTTACTGTCAACACCGGCCGCTAAAGTAACGGAAGTGAAAATTACGTCACATCCATGATAGATTTCATATTAAACGCGACTTAACTGTCTCTTCTGAGCTTCAACATTTACTGACGTCATAGCATAAAAACTGATTAAAGATGGTAGAGCCTTTGAACGTTTTTTGTTTATATAAGTATTTCTTCTTCTTACTTCTTTTCATTTTTTACTTTTCCATTTACTTTCTTTTTGTTGCTTTTCATGTTTTGTTATTTTTATTAACATTATTATTATCCCTGTTCTCTCTTACTGTTTCAGGTAAATATTCTAAATTCAAATGTAATCTAAATTCCCCACTGTTTAACCGATCATGTTTTTTATTTTGGAATCTCAAATCAACCGGAAGTTTTCTCCATTATTGCAGGTAACAAAATATTGGTCCTGTCCAGCCCGCAGGAGGCTCGGATGAGGAAGTGGCTGCTGTGATACAATACGTGCGCTCAATAGGACCGATATAAAAAGTAAGTGTTTTTTGTTTATGGTAATGTTTATAACACATGTCGTTCAGATGTTTTAGTGAAATTATGTATATAAAAGCTGGAGTTTGTGTCGCCTGCATGGGTTTGCTAACAGCTCAGTTACTGAGCCAAGCCCATCCCTACTGTCAGTGTAATCAGGTCTATAAATGATGGAGCTGGCGAGGCTGAACATTAACCAGGTTTTGTAATCGTCGTTCTGATATGAAACATGCTGATGTAGTTTATTCGAAGCTTGTATTTAACGCACGCATCAAAGTCTGTGTGAGGCGACCTGTTTATCCTGAGTATAGTACCTGCTTTATTACACAGTGGTTAGGCCTGTTTCAGGGTTTCGGCTGTAGATAACATAGTACATGAACCAAGGTTTTAGATTGGTTGTTGCAAGGCATTGTTTTACTATTGGTGTGGAGGTTTGAGTTGTTTTCAGTTTGAAATACTCTGATTTTTATACAGTGTGGTATACCGTTGTTTTCAGTTTGAAATACTCTGATTGTTTTTTATACAGTGTGGTATACTTTCAACAAATCAAGTTAAGGACATATTTGTTCTTCTTTAATACTGAACTGCTAAGTTTTGAACATAAACTATGCCACAACTTATAATACATGGCATGCCTTAATAGCATTTGTAAAAAAAGGAGGTTTCCCAAAACATTTTTAAACTTTATTTTCATTATTTTTCAGTGATATGACTAGTAATAAATCTAATACGTTGACACAAAATCAAAATGAAACAACTTCAACCAACATACACTGTGACACAGTTATATTTTGCAATTGAGGAAATGAGGAAAGTCATGTTGTGCTGTGGAAAAATGCCATGTTGTGCCTTTTTGAAGTACAGTTCCAAGACATAATTGAATCGACTGTTTTTAAACCTTTTACTGACTCTTTCACACATCATTTTTAAATCCTACCTGCAATACCAGACATTGATAAGACATGTGTTGTGTGCTTTTACAATACAGGTTTCCCTAGAGGCAGCAATGAAGCTTCGACTACACTTCGTGGTTGACCCCATGGGTTGGCTGTGCATCAGTATGGTGTTTGGGATCTGGCTGTACAACACATTCTTCATTCCAAAGCTGGTCCTGCTTCCACATTACAAAGAAGGACACATTCCGTGGGCCATGGTTGTTTGTAGGTTTTTTATTCAACCCACATCAATTTCTTGTCAATTGTTGGAATGTTGATTGACAGGTTTTAAGATCAACTGCCTTATTATTCTGCCTTATTATGTTATTCAACATTTCGTGTTTTCCACAGGTTATTACATAGCATCAGCACTTTGCCTGGCAGCCCTGGTCAGGGCTTCTACTGCAGATCCTGGACGTCTTCCTGTAGACCCCCACATACCACACTCTGGTGTGAAAACAATGACACTCACTCAGTTAACTTATGCCAGAAAGAATCATCTATTACAGTTTTTATGTGCATGTTTTGACAATGAATTCCTGTAGTAACCTGTAAATAAGAAAAGGATAGTCATATTAGCTAAATGTTCCTCCAGAAAAAATAAAAATGTTGTTGTCATTGTGTTCTGGTGTGATCTAGTACTAGTTTTACCTGTAAATAAAGATTAATTTAGCATTTCTGTCACAGAGCGTGAGCACTGGGAGCTGTGTAATAAGTGTAACTTGATGAGACCTAAGCGGTCCCACCACTGCAGTCGTTGTGGCCACTGTGTACGCAGGATGGACCACCACTGTCCATGGTATAAAAAACACTCAGAGCATCAACATTGTTGCTTTTATTTTTATTAGTTTTTTAGGTCTTTACAGCAACTTTTCAGTAATCATTATGAAGAGTTTTTGCTAAATCAAGTGTATTTCCAGGATCAATAACTGTGTGGGTGAGGACAACCACTGGCTGTTCCTGCAGCTCTGTTTCTACACTCAGGTTCTAAGTCTGTTCACCCTGCTGCTAGACTTCTGCCAGTACTACTACTTCCAACCACTGACAGAACTAGATCAGGTATGTTCCACTGTGATTTGATTGTCTAAAAGCCATAACACTGTGTTTAACTTCAATTAGAAAACCTCATCTGATTAAAACAAGCAATACTGATTGTGTCACTGTTTTTTTTCCACTTTCAGGAAAAGTTTACAACCCAGCATGAACTGGCTCTACTGCGAGTTTCAGCACTCATGGGTGTGGTGATGTTTGGTGGGATGACGACATTGTTTTACACCCAGATGACAGGAGTCCTGTCTGTGAGTGAATGATAATCAGAAGACCGACTGTCTATGACCTTGACAAAGTGGCACACCTGCACTGTATGTGCTAACAAAACAAACAAAAAAAGAAGCACACTGATTTATTTATCTACAAGGGGTTTCCCTTCGGTAGAACTTGTGTTTTAATTTAATTAGCTACAACGGACAGCTAATAAATACTGAGCAGCACAGCAAAGTTAGATAAAATCTGTTGACATTGTAGACAAATATAAAAAATAGTGCTTTGTTTAACAAAGATTGACAAGTTCGGGGTTTGTGGTACTGAATGGGAACAATTGTATTCTTATTTTGTAAGATTTTATTCCTCATGACATAACTAAGCAGTTAAAAGGCTAACATGGTTGTGGTAGATCATGTGTCAAATTAGGGAAGCCCTAAATGAATTAGACTCTGTTAAAATCATTCACTGATTTTGCAATGACCTGTGCATTTTCCTTCCCTTTTTACAGGACACTACCACAATTGAGAAGATGTCTCAGTTCTCAAATGAAGTGTGAGTTTTTACACTACACTCACATATAAAGTTGATCATCTGCTAACTCTAGCAATAAAAATAAGCATGATATACAGTATGACTTAGTGTATCACAGGTAGTGGGTCATAGGTCTAAAGTTTATTTCAGACATATAGAATAATTGTTTTCAGTTCCAAGTTAAACCGTGGGGTTAAATAAAATAAACTTTATTTAATGTATTGAATTAATTGCGCACATGTTTAGGCTTTTTTATCAAGCAGAAATGTTTATTTTTCTTTCTAAATAAAGTGTGGGTGAAAGAGAAAAAAAACATATCTGGGATCAAATGTTGATTTTTCTTTCTTCTGTGTCCATCAGTTATGGCTCAAACCGATCCTGGCAGTGGGCTCTAGCTGAGGTCTGTGGCACTCACTGGAAACTGCTCTGGTTCCTCCCACTCCGAAGCAGGCAGGCGCTCCAAGCCAGCCACCACTTCCGCTCCCATGTGTAGGTTGGCAGCACTACACTACCTCGTGCTCCAGGCTGCCGCGATGAAACACCGTATGCACATTTAAAGAATCCATCTGTTCGCCTCCACCACCTTCAATCATGCTTTGGGATACTTTGATGTCCGTGGATTCTGGAAGCTTTTAATTTTTTGTGTCCTTGTGAGTGTTTAATTTTTTATTTTTCCTGTCTCCTTGGGACACAGACTGGCAATAAGCAGGGTCAGCAATCACCTTTAGGAATGATGGGAACGTTTTTTTTTTTTAACTCACTGTGACTGGTATTTTAAGCGAATGGAAACTGCTTTAATGGCTCATTGCTACAGAAGGATGGAAGACTTCACCTGAAATCAGCTGACGAAAGGGACCCCTCTCAGGTTACTCTAACTAAAAAGAGCCTTTACTACTGACCTTTAATCAGCCACAGACAGAACTAGTGCGAGGGTGGTCTTTAGGAAAGGCAATCTTTTGAAGTTTGTGCCTCTTTTAGGTAAACTTTATTTATGACATGTCTACTGGTCAGTGGATCGTCCAGTTATACACTTTCCTGTGAATCATCATTTGATCTTGTGGAATACATGATGAAACACAAATGTTTTATGGTTTTTGATCCTTTTATCTATGAAGTTTTAAGGCCTAAGTACCAGGCGAATGAAGTCGAGTGATAACCATAGATCGTACATAAGAAATGAATGTAGCCATTTGGCGCTGAGAGTTGATTGACAGCTGGAACATATCTCCTTATACAGTACGTCCTAGATTATTAACAATTATAATTAGTTAAATTTGTCATCATGTTCTTTTTAAGGCAGACCAGAACCTATTGCTGAGACCATAAACTGTTTCAAACCAAGTAGCCTTTTCTTCTGCTAGTACTTCCATTCTAACCTTGGGCTACAATGTGGGATGCTGTCTTTCAGATGGAATGGCTGCATCCATTTTCTATATACGGCCTGTGCTAATAATAACAAGCAGCAAGTTTTCTTTTAGCAATTGAAAAAAAACATTTTTCATTGAATTAGTGATTGCCTTTTTTGAGCTGAGGCACAAACTCCCAACAGCACTAAATATTTTTTAAATTTGAAATCATCTTATGGCTAATCAGTTGCTGTCTGGATCTTTGTGTTTTTTTTACCAATTTTTGAAAAGAGTGACATGAACTTTATGGAAAACTTTTAGAATCACCAATTGCCACTTATTTGTTTAACATATCCGTAACAAAAACAATCTACATCCAGGGTTTGATTTGCTAAGATTTATATAATGACACAAACTCCTAATGTAAAGCTAATCTCAACGATTGATATTCTGCATATCTGTTTATATAGAACAACCGCTCCCAACAGACTAGAAATTTACCATTGTTGTAGAGGTAGCATTAGCATATTTTATGCTAAAGCTGGCTTGCTGTAGATTCATATTTTTGAAGCTATTGAGCTTGTAGAAAGTGTCTGTTGTAATTTAAAACTAGTACCTCTAAAATGTGTACAATGGCTTTTTGAACATATGTGTGTGGTTTCATGCTGCTGACACAACTGTTGGATGTTATTTACACTGCAGCTTGACTAGTCTAGTCTACAAACCCATACACTGGATGACTGGTTCATGTAGCAGGCTGCTAGTTGACACGCAACACTGCACGGCAACACGTAGGATTTTCTAACTGTAACTGTGGTACTGAGTATATCTGCATCACACACAGATTTTACTTTAAAGTAATACAAGTGTGGTTGTCTGTGTACGCATACAAAGCTTTCTGTGGGTTGGGTGAAATGCAATATTTGTATAGTTTTAAGTGCCTGTGTCACACTCATGGTACACATCACTGCGTCAGTCTTCATACAAGCTAAAGAAGTGTTGCAATTGTCTTTCAGGAAATGCCTGTTCCACCGAGTGTTTGAAGGTTGATTTTCACAGTATGCACTAATTTTTCAAAAGTCTTCAATTGACGTGATTTGTATGAGACGCTTATGTTTTATCTGTACCTCTCGTCAAGTTGCTCACGTTTACGTCGATAGTTTATTTTTTTATGTAAAAAGAATTCAGGTTTGTGATTTTATGTTTTGTAATACTTTGGCTGTGGGACAATGATTTTGATGGGTTAAAGAAGAAGGTACTACTGAGAAATTTTATTCACAGTTTCTTTTATACGTTTCTGTTTTCATTTGAAGCAATAAGCATATTATGTTTATATATATATATGTATATATATATATACATATATATATACATATATATATATATATCCTGTCTAGTTATTGTTGAAGTATAAAAACTGGACAACAGTTGTGACTGTTGACTATCTAAGCAGTGATGACTCCACATATTTGTTTTCCAACGTGTGAGTAACCTCAGCAGCCGCTGTGCTTGGACATAAGGCATATCTTCTCTTTGCAACACATCAGCCACCTCATGACGTTGGTGAGAGATTAATACAGAACCTACCAGGACTCTCTTTTTGACATTGTTTTTTGAGCTTTATCTGTTACTTTGTTCTGTTCTCAAACCAAACCTCAAGCACCTCAAGGAGTGAAGTTTGTGAACTAAATTAATAGTGCATAGACAAAGTACACGATTCATTTCTTTATGGATAGAATAACCTGTATAAATGATTTTACACAGTTATACAGTTAACATGTATCCAGTGTGATCATGACAATGTTGTATAGGTATTACTATCCCAATAAAGGAAGTTCCAATAGTGTTTTTCTTCTCGTCTTTCCTGCTTTAAGTTTAAAGTTTTACTCTTGAGTGCTATGTGGAGAAAACTGTGTGCAACAGTTCTGTGGTCTCACACTGACCGCCCTTTGTTCTGCCCAGTGCCCAGGTCTCATTGAGGCGTATATAACATGTGCATGATCCCTGAGTCTCCTCTGTGATGACATGTCTTCTACATTTGCGACACAAAGGCAAAACACATGCGTTAACATCCACAACTTCAACAGTTTACAATGTTTTTAATGAACCAGTCATAATAGAACCACCTGTCAGATTTAGTAATTATACAAACATTACAGGACGAGAAGACATAGTGACCAAAACAAGTGCTTATATAGATGTAGGTTAAGATGTAAATGAATCCAACAGTTTATTTTATGTTGCTGATGATAAATAAAAAGCTGTTTCTATCAACCCATTGTCATTGAGTTTTAATCTCTGACATTTGGTCGGCTGACTGATCTAATGAAATAAGAGACCCCTGCTGGGCTTCTAGTCCGCGACATCTGGCTGTTCAAAAGAAACAATCAGACATGTTATATACACACGCACACATATATAAAGTCTGCATGGAACACAAGACTGTTAACCTGCCGGAGACGGCAGTGAGTGGCTTGGTGGGTTCGCTTCATGAGGCGTGGATTAAGTCTTACGGTACAATTGTTTAATCGGATCACTAATTATTGTTTGCATGATCTTTTTTGGATTAAATCTATATGCCCTACATTTCATGAACCTTGCAGTGATTGGGTTAATACCCATCATTTCCTGCTTTGATGGTCATTAATAGAACAGTGGAGCAGTGTTTCCTAACCTTTTTTGGGCTTTGGCACATATATATCATTAGGAAAAACCCCACCAAACAAAAAGTATATTTAACGAAATTAAAATCGAAAACAAAAAGTATATTTAACGAAATTAAATCTTCTAGTTTAATTGACAGCATAATTGACTAAAATCTTGGCCTGTTTAGTTGAAGACAACACTGATATACTGGCAGGAACTGAAGAAAAACAACTCAATAATCACCTTCAACAGATATGATTATCTTTTTTTTTTTAGTTTTCATTCCCATCTGCTAGGTATTTACTGGAAGGTATTTAATTGTTCTGCCTTTCATGCTTTGACGAACAAAGTAAAATTATATGCAATAAATAAATAATAGTTTTAAGATTTCATGAACAATTCCACATTAACATCTTATGTCCGTGGAGGGATCGACTGACTCATTGATTTGTACAAGACGCTTCCACTGTAGAAAGTAAAAATTCCAATTATAAAAATAGTTCAGCTTCAGCAGTTTATCCAATCAATACGATGGCGTGTATTGATGCTACTCCCAAAAATCAATAAGTGCATGAAGCTGTTGTGTGAGAATCCTGTGCATTGTTATGAGCATGTTTTGCATTAGTCAAAGAAAATAATAAAATAGAAGAAGAGGATTGTTTTTTTATTATCAAAAAAGGAAGCAGATACAAAACCAGCCATCAGCTGCCCTTGCAGTTTACAGTTTTTAGTTTTCTTCCTGATTATGAAAGGCTCCCACTCAACAACACACTACACTTGTCATGCTACGATCTCCCACAGTGTAAACCCCATGTGCCTGTTTGGTGTCTTGATCAGCTGACATTTGTCCTCCGTGGTGACGGTGGAGTGTCTTGTTATTATCATCTTATTGTTCCCTCCTGGTGATTAAGGAGCGATTCATTTCTAATTAGGCTCCTAATGAGTGCTTTATTGAAGTCAGGTGCAATGGAAAGGTCAACCTTTCATGTAGCGTCATATTAAAAGCAGCATCACGCTGCAATTTTCTGCATTGTTTGTTGTAGGAACGACAGGTGTACAGTCTTACAGGTTTTTATTTTTCCTTGTGTATTTAAAGTAAAATTAGTTTTAAATGCTTCAATGATGTCCGACACCATTTTCAGTCTGCTGCCGCAAAATCATCTTTCATAGCAGCTCCCCTACAGTCTCCTAGTGCGTTATTTACTTCCCTATCCCAGTCAGGTTCGTTGCTGTGTGGTCCATATTTACTAGCCGTGGTGTGGTATTCCTTCACGTTCGTTTCAAAACAAATAACCTGGTCTTCCACGTAGTCTCCCAAGTAGTATTGCCTCCCATTGTCCTTCAATATAAAATGAACAGAGTACAATAGTACTATTTGCACCATATATTTGTCTCTGTGTATGATCTACTTAATTCTCTATTAGTGGAGTAGGCCCCACTGGGGGGTGGTGGGGAGCGTGAAGGGCCTTCAATGGAATATAGCATGCTGGACTAGCATTACAGCAAGTGTACCACTGCTGTAATGCTTGAATGATAACAAGCCTCCAGTCACTAGGTGGCAGCAACTTATACAGTCGTTTGTACAGCTATAAAATAAACATGTAATCAGGTTCTCAATAGTATTTCAGTTTGCGGGTGTGGGTCGGAAGGGGGGGGGGGCGTAAAAACATTTCTGTCCCCAAGGGGGGCATGACAGAAAATAATTGAGAACTACTCTACTAGTGCTTAACTTAATGTGCGACATTTTGACCAGTTAGCTACATAGAATCATTAGCACCTGGGGATTTTTAAAGGAATTGTATCACCTGCCAATGAAGCTGTAGTAAAATGTAGTAAAGATGAGGAAGTCCAGCTGAAGCTGTGAGTGTGAACCTCACTATGAACAGAGAGAGTGTTCTGGATTTAATGCTGGACTCATGTTTCAGTTGGTGACGGAGAAACTGCAGGGGGGCATTCACTGTGGTCAGGGTGGTTGTTGGCCTGCAGTCATGGCGTTTGTTGTGGTCATTTCTTTGCTGTTGTTGAACTGAGGTCGGTTTATTAGTCTTGAGGTTCTTGAGGTCAATCTGGTTAGCCGGGGTCAGCGTAGTGGCTGCAGTGGGTGGTATATACTGTATAAATTTCAGGTGTCTTTGCATACTTCCATTACAGCTCCATTACACCACTGACCCCATCATCTGACTTTATCCAAAAAAAAAA